GCTATAATATTCTCAATATCGCACCAATAATACTCTATTCATCTAGTAACACACAAAATATGAACGTTTCAATAACAAAATTTTCTTGGCTCGTCCTATGTAATGAAAGTGAGCACATCACAGCATATTCAGTTCAATTCAGTGAGTAGTCTGCTGCTGCAGCTGCTGCTGCAGTCAAAGGTAAAGGTAAACAACAGCCACACCGCCACACATCCAATAAGCAGCGTATTCTTCAGATGCTGATGCTCTCTGGCTTAGGCACATCATGAGGATAGCTGCTGCTGCTGCTGTTGTTGTTGCTGTAGTTGTTGTAGTTTCAATTCTTTGACGGCACGAATATAGGCGATCAGCGAACTCAACGGTTTTGCCTTCTCGATAAACGGATGTCGTAGCAGCTCGTCTGTATCGGCTCGATCCTCTTGCCGTACACACAAACATCGATCCAGAAAGTTGTTGAACGCTGTCGACAGTGTGTCACGTTTCTTCACTTCGGGTTTCCCATTTTGAGCTATCAAATAGATCGCCTACAAGTGGAAAAAAACATTCAGAGTAATAATGCCACACGCACAACACGCACAAATACCTTCAACGGCGTTTCGTGTAGATACGGTGGCTCACCATCGAGCATCTCTAACGCCATTATGCCCAACGACCAAATGTCCACTTTATATCCATACTTCGTCTTATTCACTATTTCGGGTGCCATCCAGTACGGTGTCCCTACCATCGTTGCCCTATCGTTACAATTACAATTATCATATCAACAATCATCTAATCAACAACAATAACAATAACAAAATAACGACAAGTAATCTAGCCACCGCACCTCTTCGTTCCAGGCTGGATTTGAGCACAAAAGCCAAAATCAGTGAGTTTCACGGCGCCCTGCATGCCCAGCAGTACATTATCGGATTTGATATCGCGATGTATGATACTATGACTGAAATGTATATCTGCTAATCGTAAGCCTCCACTCCACTCGAATCAGTTCATTTCAAATCGCATCCATCCCTCCATCCATCCATCAAAAAACACCTCACCTGTGCAAGAAATGCAACGCATGAAGACACTCCTTTAAAATGGCTGCAATTTGCCCTTCATCCAATTCAGTTTTCACCACTACATCGGTTAAATTACCACCCTCCAAGTAATCCATCACCACCCAAAGATCATCCGCTTCCACCAGATAACTGTCGATATAGTTCACCAAATTCTACAAACAAAAAAAAAATTCTTCTTCATACAATAATAATACCAGTAATAATAACAATAACAACAATAATATCAATTAAATAGCGATTATAATAAAAATAATACTCATAATACCATAATAATAATGAAATAATAACAGGTATACAAATCACCTGATGTTTATATTTCTGCATAACTTTGATTTCAGTCAGAAGTAACTCCTTTTTA